AGAAGAACCAGGAATAGTGCTGTGAAAATGAAAATCCTACCTCAAGAACAGCTTGCAACATCTTGTCAGTCCCATTCAGCCTCTGCAAAAAGTCTGCGTAAAATTTCGTCTGTACGTCTTTTCCCTGGATGATCACCATGCCCACGTCCCTCCAAATGAGGACAACGTTCTTCCTGTTCTCCAGACAGACTCGGAAAAGACGTATGGTCCTTTCCATGCAAAGCTGCACTGTACTTTCAGAGACAGCGTTGTCTGAGGCTATCTGAGCACACGGCAGTTCCTCCACGTGTTGGTGACCTGAAATACAAGAGAAGGGGAACCACAGACTTGGAGAGCTGCTAAGCCGGCTACAGTCAAAGGTCTGCAGCTCCCAGGCTTTCAAGCAATACGTTGCTACTGAGTTGCCTAGCTGCTACAGTGCTTCTCAGGAGAGGCTTGGGTTGTCCCTTGCTGTTAGAAGTGGCAAGTGAGGTGCACAGTGGACAGGTATGGTTGTCTGATACAGAAAGGCAAATAGTCTCAGGCACTTGGTAGGAAGAAGCACCACGACTGAAGTATAAGGAGGGGAGAAAGGCACCAGGTCCCACAGTAAGCTGGAGGATGGCCAGGCCATTGGAGCCCTGCCCACACTCTGTGATATTTTTGTCATTAGAGAGAAACCCACCCCAAACACAGGTCTAAGCTCTTGGTGTCCCCAGGCTCCTGCGGCAATGGCAGCAGCAACTAGAAAGCAACAGGCATTGTGGTCACTGGGATTTGGAATGAATCATCTTTCCCCCCTGGCCTTCCCTTGCTTTTCCACCTTGCAAAAAGGCTGCGAGGAAGAGCCCTGGCATTTGCCTGAATGAGCTCTAGTAAAGCAGAAAGGGGGAGCAAGGGTTGAAACACCACATAGCGAGAAGAGACAGCACCAACAGAATGGGAAGGAAGCCATTTGAGGAAGCATGTCAAAGAGCATGTGCTGTATTGCCTTCTGGTGACTAAAACAAATCAGTAGACAGGGTCCTTTCCTCAGCAGGCTGGTTTTGTCGAGCTGAAGCTGTTCTCAGACTGCAGCAGGAGGCTGGCACTCTGCTCTGGACAGCAGAGCACACCTCCCCACTGCTCAAGGACAAGCACTGCTCCCAGTCTGTCTGCTTACCAGGAATGTCTGTGTGACTGTATCGGAGGTCATGATCCTCCATAACAGTCTTTGCAAGATGAAACACAGGTCTCACCACAATCACCAGATCCTTCTCCTTGCTGCCTACTTGCTCTCTGACAACCGCAAAAGTCCCAAGTCCAGGAATGTGGACAGCCTGAAACAGAGGAGGTGGAGGATCAGAAGTCTTGGAGGGACAGAGGGAGGACTTTTCAGAGAATGGTGATGGTACTTAGTGTCCTGCCCAGAGCTGAGGTACAAAGGAGCAAAATGGGCTCTTTGGAAATCTTGGAAGAAGACAAACGGGGCCTGTGCTTTCCCCTCTCACTCCCCTTCATCCGTGAAGAAACTCAGAGGAAGTGCTGAAAAGCAGACAACCATCCTTTGGTTGTCCCACACTTGGAATAAAGCCTGATGTGCCCCAGTCTTCCAAGTTTTGTCATGCACCTCTGACTGTGGGGACTCCAGAAGCCCCAGAAAATGCCCAACCCTTTTTCTGACACTAGACCTGGACCTTATTGTACACCTGAATGGACACAGGAGAGAGTCTGTGCACATCTGTGCCTTGCAGTGTCAAGCTGGGGCATTGTTCCTGCTTTCAAAGGACAGGGAGAACAATCATACTCCAAAGCATACTTCCTAGCAAAAGGCTGTCAGGACTTCATCAATGTCCATCAGAATGTGAGGGGAGGAGGAAGAGGTAAGTCCCACCTGGTGCAGAGCCAGCTGTTGGCTGAGGTAACATGATGCACTGGCCCAAATCTTAGCGAATTCTGGGAAAGCAAGGGTAAGACATGTCATCCTCGAAGGCACCAACCACAGAACCATTAAGCTCACCCCTGCCCAGGAACCTGCGCGTTTCTAACACGTTTTTCAGATGGTCTCTCTAAAGCCCATCAAGAACCAAAGGACACCTCAGCCTGACCCACTGCCACAGAGAACTGGCAGAGATGGCATGGTGCTGTGCTCCACGTAAGTCTCAGAGGCTCAGGCTGAGCCCTGGTGTCTCCCCAGCAGGGCCAGTTTCCCTGTGTTGCATCTCTGAATGCACAGACTTTGCATGTTCCACAAGCACCTTTAGATCTTCCACTCAAACATGAGCTCAGGGTGGGCAATGCCCACCACCAGGCAAGGAACAGCCCTTTGGGGCCAGGGGCTTCTGCCTGGGGTGTCCGAGGAGGCAGGGGCCATGTCAGGAAGAGAACCAGAAGTCCCAGCTGCCAGATCAGCCCCTCAGCCCTTAGGGATGGTCAAGCAGGTCCCTCCTTGCAGTCACCAGCCCTGAGCAGCCACCCGCACCGCCCTCAGGGTTGCCATGCCTGTTTTCAGAGATGGCCGTGACCCAACGACACTCATGGAATTGGCACTGAAGGCCTTACCAGAACTCTTGAGCTTCTCAGTTGTTGGAGACAAGTGAGGCTGCAAGCAGAGTTCTTTTTCCATCTTAGTTGCACCCCCGCTCCATGTCAGCTGCAGCAATAGGATGGACAGTGGCTTGCTTTCTTCCTGCAAAAAGCCTCCTCCTCTCTGCTCTCCTTTTCCTTCTCCTCCTCTGCCTTTTGGCAACCCCACTGCTGTGTTGCTCCCTCTCTTCATCTTCTCTTGCTCACTGCAGAGCAGCTCCTCCGGAGCAGAGCGTTCACAAGCACAACCCTCAGCAGGAGTCCCCGTGGCCTTACCAGGGTTTGGGTGCAGATGCTGGTCACAATGCAGGTGAGAGGCCGATCACCACTGCGGTGTGGGGCTGTCCACTGTAACCCCAAACCGTTCCACAGGGGGGCTGCACACAGACCCTGCCGGGGGAGGCTCTGCAGTGGGCAGGGTCTTCAGGGAGCAGGTAGGAAGGAAGGAAGGAAAGGAGGAAGAAGGGAGGGAGGGAGGAAGGGAGGGAAGAGAAGGAATGAAGAAGAAAAGAAAGAAAGGAAGGAAGGAAGGAAGGAAGGAAGGAAAGGAAACCCAAACACCAACAAAAAAAACCAACCAAAACCAAACCAAACCACCACCACCACCACCACCAACAACAACAAAACCCAACCGACCAACCAGAAAGGGAAATAACTGCCTTAGTAGAAGGTAAATTCCAGTCCCATAGACCGATGTATGTTCAGGTTCCTCACGTGCTCACAAATCTGATCTCATATAGTGGGAGGGATTTTGATCCCCCAGTGCCTGTCTTTGGGTTCATCCACTCGAGAGGTGTGGACACAGAGCCTCTCCAGTCCTGTTCACTGTCCTGTTCACTGGGGCACATTTTGTCTTTGACCCTCCTTTTCTGGCTGACATACCTGTAAAAGCCCTTATTATTATTCTTTACATCTGTTGCCAAGTTCAGCTCCACCGTGCCTTGGCCTTCCTGTCCTCGTCCCTACACAACCAGAGTGTGTTCCTGTACTCTTCCCAGGATACCTGTCCCTGCTTCCGCTGTCAGTACATTTCCTTCTTGCCCTTCAGTTTGACCAGCAGGTCATGAGTCCCCTAACGGGGGGAGCTCCAGATAATGAGGGTTTGGGGAAACCAAATTAAGGGACTGGAGCTCCTTCTACAGCACGCACACTCATGGGGACCCATGTATCCCCACTACTCTCAAAAGGGCACCTAGGTGTCTGGGACCTGCCTAGGAACCCCACCGGTCCCGGGGACCTAGGTACCCAGGTTCTGCCTAGGAACCCTGCTGTCCCCTGGTGACCTAGACACCCAGGTTCCACCTAGGAACCCTGCTGTCCCCTGTGGACCCAGGCATCTGGGTCCTCTGCTTTGGGGCCATGGGGTGGTGGTGGGTGCCCCTGATGCTGGTGGTGGTCCCCTGGCTCCCTGGAAACCCAGGCACCCAGCCAAAGGGACCTGGCTTGTGGCAGTGGGTGGCCCTGGTGTCCTGGCTTCCCAGGGTGCACCCCTGTCTGCTCTGCTTCTGGCCCCCCATTCAGCGGGCACGCCTCTGCCGTAACATTACTGGGGCCCCTCTGAATGACCCCAGACATCAACGCTGCCTTGAGGCTCTTGACCAGGCTGCTGTGCCACTCGCCTCTGTCACTGTGGGTGTGTGATGAGACCCCAAGGACATACACCCCCTGACTGGCACCTCCATCCCCAAGGGGACCCCACCCTGAACGGGACCCCAGAGTCCTCTGGGATTCCCCATTTCAACCAGGCCCTTCACACCAACACTTGCCAGGATCCTGGGCAGTGGGGGACCCCTTTCCTAAACAGGAATCCCAGGGACCCTCCCCAGACAAGCACCCTCGGAACTCCCAGCCATGCCAATGTCTCCCCAGTCCTGACCTGGAGCCCAGGGACCTCTGGGAACCCCAGCCCTGCCTGAGACCCTGAGAATCAGGAACACAGTGGGAACCCCTGGCCCTGCCTAGGACCTCAAGGATCCTGAGGGATATCTGACCCTTTCCACTGTCCCTAAACCCTGATCAGGACTGCAGAAGCCCCAGAAATCCCCAGCCCTTACTGGACCCTCCCATCCCTGAACCTTCAGCCCCAGTCATGTGCTGGTCCCAGTGTTCCTGTCCTGGTCCCAGGGTCGGGGCAGCGTGAGCGACTCCAGGAGATCATAATGGATGCCCTGCGTTCTCTGGAGAAGCAGAAGGGCAAGAGTGAGCCTGGGACATGGGCCGGGGCATGGGGGATGGAACGTGGAGGCCTTGAATGAGAGGTGTAGTGAAATACAGTATATATGGAGGTCTGTGGGCTGTAAGGGGATATTTAGGGAATCCTGAGAGTATATGGGCTTCAAGGTGTACAGCTTCTGTGGGTTTCTGAGGGGAGTATTTGGGGGAAGTGGGCCTCCAGCATGGATGCACAGGGTCGATGTGAGTTGTACAGGAGATCTGTTGAGGTCTGGAGAGGGTTTATGGGCATCAGAGGCGGTGGTGGCAGCGAATTGTCTCACCTGGACATCTGGGACATCCCAGAGGCTTTTGAGGTGTCTCTGCAGGAAGCTGTCAACACAATCTGGGTGAAGCTGAGCCAGCTGGAGGAAGGTAATGGGCCAGTGGGGACACACGCTTGGGAATCCCACCATGGGGAACCCTTGGGAAGGGACTGTCACAAGGACTCACACCCTGGAGATCTACACCCCTGGGTCCTCACATGGGGCACCCCCATCCTGGAGAAGCCGCCAGGGACCCCATCAGGGCTGGACAAGGGCTGAGCCCCGACAGCTCATCACAGGGATGTGGATCCCCAGTAATTCCCAGTCTAATGCTGCTTCCTCCCCACCAGCTCCAGCCTGCATCCCCCCCTGTGGTGAGTGCCCATCCATCTGTCTTGCTACCCCTGTTCCCAAGTACATCTCCCATCCCTCTGGGACCACCAAATCTCTCCATCCCAGGATATCAGCCAGACGCCCGCGTCTTCCAGTGTGCTACCTGCCGCCTCATGGACTGCCAGTTTCCTTTGGACTGCCCAGGTATGGGGCCAAGGTAGACCCAGGCTGAGCCCCTCCCCACAGCTGGATGCCTCATTTCCAACATGTGGGCATGCCTGCTGGGCCCGTGAGTGCACAGGAGCATGCCAAGCTGCTCCCCCAGCATGTGCAGCTGCAGAGGAGCACATTCTGTAAGTGCATGGGCAGACGTGCCTCACATGCCTGTCAATGTTCCCAGTGCAGGACATGCAGGTCCGCACAGATGAAGCCATCACACTGCTCTGCAATGTACCCTTTGCCACCCCCGCCAACCTGCCCATTGTCTGGATGTTTGCCAAGGACGTGAGTTGCACATGCATGTACACGGGTGTACACAGACATTCATGAGAGGACTGGGCACACACACAGCTGTGCTCTTGGTGTGAGGAGTATCAATAGCTGCAGGTATTGCTTAACAGTAGATAGGTGTGCTATATGTAGCATGTGTGTAAGCATGCATAGGATGCAAGCAAATGCTCACCCATGCGAAGGGTGCATGCAAGCAGGAGGCAGGTCACTTGTGCTTGCATGTTCATGGAAACTTGCATGCCCACATGTGTGAAGGAAGTGACTTTTTATCGAACTGTAAAATCCCGGACTGGTTTGTGTTGGAAAGAATCTTAAAGATGACCCAGCTCCAACCCCTGCCACGGGCAGGGACACCTTCCACTAGAGCAGGTTGCTCCAAGCCCCTGTGTCCAACCTGGCCTTGAACCCTGCCAGGGATGGGGCAGCCACAGCTTCTCTGGGCACCCTGTGCCAGCACCTCAGCACCCTCACAGGGAAGAGCTTCTGCCCAAGAGCTCATCTCAATCTCCCCTCTGGCAGGTTCAAGCCATTCCCCTTGTCCTGTCCCTCCATCCCTTGTCCAAAGCCCCTCTCCAGGTTTCCTGGAGCCCCTTTAGGCCCTGGAGCTGCTCTAAGGTGTCCCCTTCAGGAGCCTTCTCTTCTCCAGCTGCCCCAGCCCAGCTCTCTCAGCCCGGCTCCAGAGCAGAGCTGCTCCAGCCCTCGCAGCAGCTCCGGGGCCTCCTCTGGCCTCGCTCCAGCAGCTCCACGTCCCTCTTGTGCTGTTCCCCAGAGCTGGATCAGGGCTGCAGGAGAGGTTTCCTCAGAGCACAGCAGAGGGGGAGAATCCCCTCCCTGATCTGGTGCTTATGCTCTGGGGGTGCACCCAGCACATGGTGGGGTTCTGGGCTCGGGTGCACATGTCCAGGTCCTGGGGAGCTTCTTGTCGATGTGAGCATTGGCTTACATGTCCTCATGCACTCTGCTTGTGCGTCCGTGTGTGCAGACACACAGAGCATGATGAGCACATGTGGGACATGAGGTGCATGCACATGCACAAGTGAAGAGTCCCAGAAGCACGAAGGGGACATGACCAGCAGGACATGAGCACCTTTTCATGCGTGTTTATGCTGTTTCATGTACCTGGTGGACCAGGCTGTGCTGACATGTTCCCCCATGCCTCAGTTGCACACACAGGATCCGGCCCTGTTTGAGGAGCTGAAGGTGGGTGTGGAGGGACTTTTCATCCTGACCATCCAGGACCCTACTCCAGGAACCATTGCCTGTCACCTGGGAGACCCTTCTGAGCCCTTGGTCCGCAAGTACTTCTACCTCAATGGTGCGCCCAGATGCCTGAGTGCCCTGGGGACAGTGAGTGGGGTGGGGTGGAGTGGGGCCCCGGAGAGCTGGGTCTCGTGGCAGGCAGTGCGTGGGGAGTATGAGCAGGGTGGATCCATGGTGCAGTGGGTGTTCCCTGATGCCTGGCTCCTCCGGGAACAGTGGGGCACGTGGTGTGGAGCGGACACCCCCTGACGCTGGGGTCCCTGCGGGCAGTGAGGTCTGTGGCTGGGGGGTAGTGCCCCATGACCCAAGAGATGTCATCCCCACAGTATCAGGGGGAAGCGTGGAGGCAGAGCAGGGACTCCAGGCTCAGTTCAGGGCTGTGCTGCACTGGCCCCATGACAGGACCTTCCTGAACCACATGGCATTAGTGGGGCTGGGTCTGGCGCTTGGTTCCATGATGCTTGTGCTGCTGCTGGTGCAAGTCCTCCTGACCTGGTAAACCTTACCCTCCAAATCCCCATGCTTTTGGGGCTGCCCGCAGACCACCATGGGACACCCAAACCCTGTTGGACCCTCAGTCCCTTGGGATTCCCTACGAATGGGTGGACCCTGGTGTCCAAGGGGGAACAAAGACTGCAGGACTCCTAAACTCACAGGGCCCCCTGTTTCCCCCAGGACTCCCATTGTCCTCTGGCCCATTCCAGGACCACTCCCTTGCACCCAGCACCACTCTAGGCTGCCTTGCTGCCCCCAGATTCCCTAATTGCCCCAAGACCCTGGCCCCAGTTACAGTCAGTTGACCCAGTTGCCTGCCCCCATACCCATACCTTCACCCTTCACATTGCTCCCAGGACCCCGCACTGGCCCCTTGGACCCCCCAGATGCCCCCTGATATTCCCCCAACCCCAGATGGGTTCATAGGGTCTTCTCCCCTCTCCTCTTCTTTCTCCAATCCTTCTGCTTCCCAGGGGCACCCGTCGATGCTGGAGCCCCCAAGACCTCAGTGACCACCAGACATCCCACAGACCTGGACAAGAGGGTCCCACAGGGGATTCTGGATACCTGGATTCCCCCTAGGGGAGCATGACATGTGGATCCACCCCTGAGGACCAAACCCTGCCATTGCTTTTCTTGCACTGGGGGTGGCATGTGCAAAATGGAACAGTCTGAAAACAGAAACACAGAGTTCTGAAAATCTGGATTATGCTGGAGATAAGGATCTGGGATTCTTGGCCTTGCAAACAGGCAACTGTGGGTTTACATCCAGAAAACCTGGGTACTGGGCAGTGCATAAGCAGTCCAAAACACAGTTCTGATCTTCCTGACACTGCGTTTCAAAGCTAGCACTAAGGGAAGGTCAGGCTGCTGCTTGTGGGGAAGCTTTGTCTCGATGCCAGTATCAAAGATACTAATGTAAAATATACCTTTATATCAGGAATATCAGATTTGCAGTCAAATGACTACAAATGTCAAGCTACTTTCTTCTCTGATTGTTTGCCTAAAAGCTTTTTATCACACATTTCTACAGATTTTTTAGGCACTATGTCTGTAACGAAATGGCTGAGCAGTAGAGGAAGAATGCTATACTGTTCCTTGAAGAAGAGATGTAAAAAACCCCTAAACACACAAAAACCATCTTAAGGCTGTGACCACTGTATCACCTCCAGTGCTCTATGCTGCTTTTAAATGTACCTAGATTTAACTAGAATCACAGACTCATAGAAGAGTTAGGGTTGAAAAAACCCAACTGTATATATCTGAAAACCCAGACTGCAAACACACAGGACACACACATCAGTGCATCCAGTCCCAAGCAACTGGTCACACTTCTGTCCCCTGGGTTGACATTCCAGCTGTATTTAAATCTGTGGTGCTGCCAGTGCTGGTTATGGCTGAGGAACCTGAGCTGCAACCCCCCTATCCCACAAAGGCCAATCCTGACCTGACCTGCAGTCATCTGGTAACACAACAGAGCCACAGCGGGCTCGTGCTGGACACTGCAGCTCACGTTTCTCATCCAAGTGGTATCATTTCCCATCAAGAACACATTGTGGGTTTGTGATCTCTGCCTGTTTCTTCTGCTGCTAACCAGTGGACTGGAGGGGTGGTAGGGTGGAAATCACACTCCTATCAGTCACAGGTTTGGCAGATGTCTCTATGAAACAAAGAGGTGTGCCTGAGGAGGCAGCAAAGGGCTTGGGGAGCACCTGAGGGCATTCAGAGGGCTCTGGCATGAAAATGAAAGCAAATGTAAGACGCTGGGATATACTGCAAATATAATGAGGGGCTCTGGTTCACACAGAGACTGTCCTCTGGCACTTCCATTCCCCTCCATGTACTCTCCATTCCCCTACATGCCACTGTGGTCCCTTCCATTCTTCTCTAGGCATGCTCAGGATCCCTCTGTTCCCTTCTGTGGACTCTCAGTTACTTTCCATTCACTTTTGAGGGCTTGTAGATCCACTCTGCTCCCCTATCTGTGCCTTAGAACCCCACAGTTCCCATGCATGCACGCTCATATCTGCTCCACCCCCTTTGTGCACTCCCCAGTCCCTGAGATCCTTTCCGAGTGCCTTACATCCAAACTATGTCCTCTCTACATGCTTTCAAATTCCATCTGTTCCCTTCTGGGTGCTTCTAGATCAACTTGGACTCATTCTGTTAACTTCAAAGCACTCTCAGATGCTCTCCATTCCTATCCAGCTGCTTTCATATCCTCTACATTCCCCTCATTGTTCTCTCTTGGAACTACTCTGTTGTCCTCCCTGCACAAATAGATTCCCTCAACTCCTCTGTTGTCCTCCCTGCTGTCCTCCCTGCACAAATAGATTCCCTCAACTCCCCCCTACATGTTCAAGTGTCCTCCATTTCCTTCTGTATGCACCCAGATCTTCTCTGTTCCCTCCTCAAATATTCAGGTCTCCTCTGTTCCTTTCAGCATATGTGTTGTGCTGATTTCTCCCCTCTGTGCACATTCTTATCACTCTTTTCCACAACAAGCACCACTCAGATGCCCACCAACACCCAGATCCCACCCCTCCCTTCTGACGGTGCTTGGTTCCTATGGGCTCCATTGTCAGATCCCTTCCAGTTCCTCTGTGCACCCTCAATTCCCCTTCACCAGCTGCTCCAAACACTGTCCCACAACAGTCAGTCTCTCTAGGAGCCTCGGGACTGCTCTGACTTACCCATAAAGAACTAGGCTGAGACTGTCAAAAGCACATTAAACAAGAACCAGTTGACCTGGCAGCACCCATTTGTTCTCCACGCTGGTTGGTGACTGGCGTTCAAGTGTTTATTTACTAAGCTGCACTCTTCAAAGCTCCCAAATATGCTGTTCCCAGGGGAAATTCCATCCAAGGAGCTAAGCACTCACAGAAGAGACCATTCCAAGGACTCTTGCTGGCAAGGAGCTTATTTTCTTCACAGCTCAGGAAGCCGTGCACCTAGAACCACAGGCACCTTCGACTCCGCTTGTGTTTTATAAGGGCACAAAGGAAACCCAGCCTGATTTCCTCCTTCAGGACAAAGGAAGCCAGGAGTGGGCACAGGACCCGCTCACCCCACCCACCACAGAGAGCACTACAAATGCCTCTGTGAGCCCTGCCACTCCACAGCTTTGTGCTCCAGACCGCATTCCCGCATGGACGCCATGGGTGAGTACACGGCTGGGAAGTGGGGTGCTCCTTGCTAGCAACGGGACGAGCACAGTTTGGGCAGCTCAGCAACAGGGACTCACACACGGATGGGGAGCAGTGGCATCGGTGCCCCTTCAAACACCAGCAGCTTGTGCCCTGCCTTCTGGCTCACCCCAGCCAGCCCTCTGCTTTAGGGGACAGGAATGAGACCTGGCTCTGCCAGTTGTCGGGTTCTTTGCTCCACCCCAAACCTTTCAGAAGCTGGTCAAGGGGAAGAGGCAATGTTGGCTACTCCTTGAGCAAAAGAGTAGAAGCCTTTAGGGAAGCTTTCCAGCTTGCACAGACCAGTCTGATGCTGCCACACATGCTTGGTGCATGCACTTGGTCCTGTTATACGGTGTGGTGCTGGAGCCATGGAATTTCCTGCCTCTCTGGAGGCAGGGTCACATTTCATCTTGTCTCTATCTTTTCCCTTTCTAGCAGTCCAGTGCCTTCTGCTCCTTGCTTGCGTGCTGGTCTTGGCTGCCCCAGGCCACTCCATGCTTCCACAAACCCTAAATGTCTTCAAGAAATCTCCCTCCAACACTTCGGCAAGTGCTCTGAAGAAAACCAGTACGTAGCGTGCTGTAGGCATAGCAGTGCTCTCACCAAACCCTTCTGGTGCCTTGGTCTGGGTCAACCCTGGCTGGTGAAAAGCCCCAGCCCATGCTCTGGGCCAGTGGAGGCTTGATAAAGTGGAACTCCTACCTGGGAGAGGGTGTGCTATGGTGCCTCAGATCCAAAAAGCATCTCCAAAATGTGTACAAGCAGGAAGGGTGGAGAGATGTGGCATCAACCCCAGGCTTTGCTCAGCTGGGAAGAGGAGCTCTGCCTATCTGGCAGGATGATACTAACTGCAGTGGGAGGTCCTGCAGTTAACAAGCTGAAGGCATGGGGACACCACATCTGCAAGAACAGGGGGGACCCAGTGTTGTGTGCTCATATATAGCCAGCTCCGGGTGGGGAAGGGCCCTACACCATACCCAGCCCTGGCCCTGCTCTGGGGTGGTGGATGGTGGATATGAGGAGGTGTATGCAATGCAGGCTGCAGGGCTCTGTGTGTGTGTGTGTGTGTGTGCACTGTGCAGCCTGGTAAGGGTGTCTGTGTGCTTGAAGGGGTTACTTTTCTCCTGTTCCCTTGGTCACAGGCAGGGGCAAGGTCCTGTTCACCTTTCCCCCAGCGTGACCCTGTTTTAGTGACACAATCCCTTTTTTTGGGAGACCCGAAGGAGCCCACTAGTGTCCACTAGTGTCCTGGACTGACAGCAGCACAGCCCAGTGTGTGGGGAACCTTTCACTGGGGCTGCCCTCTGTTAGGTGTTCCAGATGGAAGAGGAACAGAGGGCTGAGGCTAACGTACTCTCACCTCCAGCTATGCACATTGACCTCTCTAGGCTGGGACAGCTGATTATCTGCCAGGTACTCTGGCCAGATGTCCCTGTATCCTGCCAGAGGGAGAAACATGGTCTTGTTGCATCACCCTCTCTCCTGCCCCAGGTTGGCCCAGGGACTGCAGCGAGGTCTCTGCTGGCAGCCCCAGTAGCGTCTACATCATCCAGCCCGCAGGATTGGACCCCATGGTGGTGTACTGCGAAATGAATGCGACAGACAGGGGCTGGACAGTCATCCAGAGGAACCGGCAGAGCACAGAGATCACCTGGGCTGAGTCCTGGAGCACCTACAAGTACGGCTTTGGGGACGTGCACACCGAGTACTGGCTGGGCACTGAGTACATCCATCACATCACCAAGCAGAAGGTCTACCAGGTCAGATTTGTCATTCAGGACTCCCAGGGACAGCAGGGTATGCCATGACCTCAGATAATCCCAGGAAAGTGCACAACAACATGAAGTTCTCCACTAAAGATCGAGATCAGGACACATACAGAGGGAATTGTGCCTCCCGCTATGGGGGTGGGTGGTGGTATTCAGCCTGTTATTCTGTACAGCTGAACGTCAAGGGTGGCATAACATGGGGCAGCCTGTGCAAAGGGACCTGCAAAGCTTCTGCCATCCTCATCAAACCAGCTTTGAACCATTAGTACTCTTTCC